CACCTCTAAATACGATCACGTTGGGGATTAGGTTTCAACATGCAAATTTTAAGGGGACACAAACATTCAATCTATAGCAGACTCTTTTATTTAAAACAATTTTTAATTGTGGTAAAATATACATAACATAAAATTTACCATCTTAATAATTTTTAAGTGTACATTTCAGTAGTGTTAAGTACATTCACATTGTTATGCAACCAATCCCCATAACTCTTGCAAAATTGAAACTCTATGACCATTAAACAACTCCTCCTTCTCTCCTTCCCCCAGCTCCTGCTAATCACCATTCTTCTTTTTGTCTCTATGAATTTGACTACTCTGGGTACCTCATACAAATGGAATCATACAGTATTTGTCCTTTTTGTGACTAGCTTATTTCACTTAACATGACATCCTCAAGGTTTGTCCATATTATAGCATGTGTCAGAATGTCCTTTTTAAAGGCCGAATAATATTCCATTGTATGTGTATACCACATTTTGTTTATCCATTCATGTGTCAGTGGACACTTGGGTTGCTTCCATTAGGCTGTTGTGAATAATGCTGCTGTGAACATGGGTGTATAAATATCTCTTTGAAACACTGATTTTACTTATTTTGGGTATATATACACAGCATGGAATCAGTGAATCATATGGTAATTCTTTTTAAATTTTTGAGGTACTGCAATATTGTTTTCTATAGTGGCTGCACCATTTTATATTCCCACCAATGGTGCACAGGGGTTCCAATTTCTGTACAACCTCGCCAACACTTGTTATATTCTCTCTCTCTTTTTTTTTTTGTGAGGAAGATCGGCCCTGAGCTAACATCTGCCAATCCTCCTCTTTTTGTTGAGGAAGACTGGCCCTGGGCTGACATCCATGCCCATCTTCCTTCACTTTATATGGGATGCCGCCACAGCATGGCTTGACAAGCGGTGCGTCAGTGCGCACCTGGGATCCAAACCTGCGAACCCTGAGCTGCCGCAGCGGAGCGCGTGCACTTAACTACTTGCGCCACTGGGCTGGCCCCATCTCTCTTTTTTCAATAGTAGTCATCCTAATTGGTGTGAGGTGGTGAAAAGACTCATTTTGCCCCATTGAGTTGTCTTGGCCCCCTTGTCAAAGATCAATTGACTGTAAATGTGAAAGTTTATTTCCAAACTCTGAATTCTATTCCATTGGTCTGTATACTTATCCTTACGCTAGTACCACACTGTCTTGATTACTGTGGCTTTGTAGTAGGTTTTGAAATTAGGAAGTTTGAGTCCTCTGACTTTGCCTTTATCAAGATTGAGTGTTGGTCATTCTGAATCCCTTGCATTTCCATATGACTTTTAGGATTGGCTTGTCAATTTCTGCAAAAAAGCCAAGCAGGGGTTTTGATAGGGATTGCATGAAATCTGTAGATTAATTTAGGTAGTATTGCCATTTTAACGATATTAAGTCTTCTGATCCATGAACGTGAGATGTCTTCCCATTTATGTAGGCCTTCTTTAATGTCTTTCAACAATGTTTTGTAGTTTTTGATGTAAAAGTCTTACACTTCTTTTGTTTAGTTTATTCCTAAGTATTTTATTCTTTTTGATGCTGTTGTAAGTGGAATTTTTTTCTTAATTTTTGGATTGTTCATTGGTAGTGTATAGAAATGCAATTGGTTTTATACATTTATCTTGTATCTTGCAACCCTTCTGAACTCGTTTATTAGTTCTCATAGTTTTTTAGTGTGTGTGTGGTTTCCTTAGGATTTTCTATATGGAAGATCATGTCATCTGTGGATAGAGATAATTTTACTTTTTCTTTCCAATCTAGATGCCATTCATTTCTTTTTCTTGCCTAATTGCCCTGGTTAGAACCTCAAGTGCAGTGTTGAATAGAATTGGCAAGAGTGGATATCCTTGGATCAGATTTTAATGTTTAGTGGTTTGGAAATATGTATTACTGACAATACTCCTTTGAAAATTTGAAAATCCAGCTTTGTGTCCTCCTATAGTAACAAAAATAATAATTTTTTTTTCTGGTGGAATTTAGCATGCTATTTATTTTTTGAACATCAAGGTGCAATAGATTCTAGCTTGGCTTTTTCTAAAACTTTGATGTCTCTGCTCTATTAACTTTATGAAATTTTTTCCTAAAAGTCACTAAAGTAAGCTAACTGTAGGAATTTTAAAAACACATCTCTAAAGTATGTATTTTCCTAAGGAATTGTGCATGCTGGGTATTTTTGCTCAAATTTATTCCCTACAGAAAGCGGTAGAAGGAACTCTTTCATACTTCATTCTTTACTGTAGATTTTGCCATACTTAGATATCCAATTCAGAGAATAGAATTTCTTTCATATATAGAGCATTTCTTGAATATATTCTGTATGTGTTGCACTTTGCCCTGTGGAGACATGAAATAAGTATAAGGGTCTGTTTATTCTCCAAATGCTTATCAGATATTAGGAAGATCGAGTACTTACCTTGTACTGCTGTGTATTTGTGGTTCTGTGTATATGCCTTGTCTCCCTCACTAAATGTAAGCTCCTTGAGGATAACCATCTTTGTATTGACACAGTGTGTATCACAGTGGCTCACATGTAGCATGTGTTTAGTATAAATTTTGAAAATTAATGGAATAGGGGCCGACTCGGTGGCGTAGTGGTTAAAGTTCGTGCGTTCTGCTTCTGCAGCCCAGGGTTATCCGGTTTGGATCCTGGCTTGACAGCGAGGGGACTCACTGCTCGTCAAGCCATGCTGAGGCGGTGTCCCACATAGAGCAACCAGAAGGATGTACAGCTATGACATACAACTATCTATTGGGGTTTTGGGGAGAAAAAAGAAAAAAGAGGAAGATTGGCAACAGGCGTTAGCGCAGGGCCAATCTTCCTAAAAAAAGAAATAAAAAAAACATTAATGGAATAATAAAAACAATATAAGACTACAATTAAATACTCAAGTGAATTGCATAACCAATCAGTATCGTTGAATTTCAGAAGTAACAATGATCAGTGTGTACTGGATTTACTAGGGAAGGCTTCATGCAAGAGATGGTAATTAAGTGGGCTTGTAGGTAAGAACTGAGCAAGAGGAAAGAGCATTTCAACTAGGTGTCATGGTATTTGGAGGTCAGCAAACGGATCATATTGACTAGAATAGAAGATTGGTATTGGCTTGTAGATAGAGAAAAGGGTGGGTAAATAGATAGGAACATTGTATTTTGGAGGCCTTAAATGCCAGTTTGAAAAGTTTGCTCTTGTTCCATTTGACACTAGAGAATCATTGAAATATTTTAAGCTAGAAGTTTTGGGGCAAAGCAGTACTTTCAGATTTACTTGGTGATAGTATGTATTTTGGGCTGGAGGGAAATTATTATCAGGAGACCATTTAAGAAGGTACGGTAGTAATTGAATTCTTCTAGTCCGTCGCCTCTTTAAGAGCAGAGTTCTTTGATTTTTAGTGCCTAGCACTATGCCTAGAGCAGAGTTCAGATATTTGCTCAATGCATGCTTGAATATATGGACCATGTCATCTGAGCCTGGATAGAGCTGTTAGCAGTAGGAGATATCCATATGAGAGACATTTTGGAGGAAAAATTGAGATGACTTGTTTTCTAAGAGTATAAAGGGTATGGGTATGGTAGAAGATGACACTAAAATTTCAGCATGGGTATGTAGGAATAGCAGTGCCATCCCCAGAAATAGGGAAGTCATCCAAGGAAAGAGGAGAATGAGAAAAGGGACAGTCATGAGCATGTTTTTAGACTTGACAAGTTTGATATTGAAATACATAGCACATAGTTACAGAAAGGCTCAAATGAAAACTGAAGTCTGAATGTTTAAATTTGTATATCACTATCAAAATATTATTGTTCAAGCAGTAAGAATGATTGGACTGATATAACTGTATGCATGTGCATGGGTGCAGAGGTGGTGTGCATGTACACAAGTATACACACTCTTATATGCTGGAACCCAATATTTGTGTTAGATTGTTGATATACTAATCTCCTTGTTGGTATTAGCAGAATGATGAGGACTGATTTTTGGGGTGAGCAGAGGGGGAAAAAAAGGAGCTAAAGAAGGATACAGGAAAGGAACAGAGAGGTAGAAGAATTTTTTTTTTTTTTAAAGATTTTATTTATTTATTTTTTCCCCCCAAAGCCCCAGTAGATAGTTGTATGTCATAGCTGCACATCCTTCTAGTTGCTGTATGTGGGACTCGGCCTCAGGATGGACGGAGAAGTGGTGCCTCGGTGCGCGCCAGGGATCCGAACCCGGGCCACCAGCATCGGAGCGCGCGCACTTAACCACCAAGCCACGGGGCCGGCCCAAGGTAGAAGAATTTACGACACAAATATGCCAAGGAAACTTTGTAATTTGTCTTATGTTTCAAAATATACTAGTGATAACAACAGTAGTACTTCAGACACTGTACTAAGCCTACTGTCTCTCTGTCCTCACAATGAATCCGTGATGTCAGTACTATTATATCCCCCTTTTACCAATGTAGAAACTGAATTCTAAAGAAGTTAAAACTTGCCCAAGATCACTTTAGCTAATAAATAATTAGGAGACCTTGTGGATATAAATCTGACTTTTTTGACTCCAAGCCAGATGTTCTTCCAATATACCAAATGTTTATATGTTTAATATTTTCAAGGCAAGGACTTTATCTTTAGAGGATCAGTCCCTGGTAAAGGCTTATTGCTTAGCAGGCAGTGATGGGACAGTAGCGTTTCCTGTAAAAAAAAAATCTGCATGTACTTTGGATGTGGCTGCTACTACTTTCTACTTGCATATTTATATTTATAGTGTGTTAGGAGATAAAACTTTCTTTGATTGCGTGTTGTAGATGTTAATTTAAAAGAGGATATCAGTGCTTTTGTTTCAAGAATTAATCATTCAGAAAGTGCTTTTCAAATTTTTTGTTAAACTAGTATAAACTTCTTTTAGAAGTTTTTCTGATGCATCCCTCAGAACATTCATACACTAACAAGGAAATAAGAAGGGCCTGACATTTTCTTTTGTTTCAGGGGATATCATTTTTAATGCCCAATACCCAGAGCTGCCCCCCGATTTTATCTTTGGAGAAGATGCTGAATTCCTGCCAGATCCCTCGGCTTTGCATGTGAGTATTGCAGGCTCATTCAGATGATCTTTATTTGTTGAAAGGAAAATAAAATTAGCTTTTGACAATTGCTTAACAGATAAATTTGCCAAATGTGGATTTTTTTCCACCCCTTTTTTTCTGTCCCTTGAAATAACTACAACTCTTTATGTGCCAAAATAGTTTAAATAAGAGATTTTTTAAAAGTGCAGTTTTACTTTCAGACTATTTTGACTTAATGAAAGTGTCTAGCACATTGGTTAAAATATTTTTACTTCAGCTTAAAGAGACATGTTGAAAATGTTTTCTTTCTTATAACTTAGTATATCATGTCTGCAATCAATTTTCTAATGTTTACTAACACTTCAGCACAAGGCTTGTTAGGGGAGTGTTTCTTGGCTCTTGAAGAGGGCTTTTTTGTGTAGAAGTGAAAGTGGCGAATTTGGACTTGTATTGGCTTTATCTCAGTATTATTATCAGAAGGGTAAAGATCAGATTAAGTGTTCTTTATTAAGCAAGACCAAAAACTTTGTAGTTGAAGTGAAATGTTTCTGGATTTAATGCAAGGAAGGGGGTGGTGGTACTTGTCAGAGCACATGCGGTTTATATAAAAATTATGTGTTTTGCATGGCTGGTGGAGAAAAACATGTGCCATTCTGTTTAAAAGGTCTGACCAAACAAAACGTCTCTTTCTTTCCCTTCTCAAGTTTGGTTTTACTGTGATGCCTAGACTATATGAGGTTTTATTGTTTGTTCAAAACTGTGTTCTTAGTTTTATTTTTTGGAAATTTTTTGTCTTACTAAAGTTTGGTAATTAAAAGTTTTGATGACTTAGTTTGAAATCTTGCCCCCCCGCCTTTTTTAAAAGGGAAGTATTAAACAGGAAGTATTAACCTAAAGAATTTTCTTAAATTTTAGACACAGCTGTAAAAAAACAAAAGTTGACAAGAGTAGGGTGAGTTTGTTGCAAAATTTCTAATAATTACACATACACTGTTACTTTAGTTGACTTTAAAAAAATTTGTAGTTTAAGTATGGCCGCATATATGCTATATGTTATATATTCACCCCATATTGAAGCTGAGGGGCTTACCTGGAGAAAATGAGGCGGAAGTATCCCTACAGACCTCTCTTGTATTAAATCTGCCCGGTGTGGGTGGCATATGTTAAATGCTAAAGATGTATTACAGGCTGAGTGCTCCAGGATTATAAAGAAAGTTGTCAGGAAAGGGTTTGTAGTGTAGGTGAGACTTGTACTCAGGCTTGAAGAATGGAACAAAAGTGGGGAGCATGGCAGAGAGTATTTCAAGTAGGGGGAGTATAAACAAATGATGTGTATAATATATTGTAGAAGGTACTGCCAGGTTTGCTGAAATGTAAATTAACGTAAAGGAGGGCTAGAAAAGGTTAGCAAGATAAATTGGGATGAGATTGTGGAGTGCATTGAATGCTAGGTTAAGAGCCATTGAAAGAAATGATAATTGAAGAATCATCTAACAGCAATGTGATCAATATAAGGGATTAAGGAGAGATTGAGGACTCTTGCAAAAATCCAGAGGGGAAAAGAAGGGACTTTGAGCTAGATGATGCAAGAGGAACACTGATGGAAAGGATAAGAAGTATGCATATGTTTACAGCTTTTTTTGGAATTGTCTTTAAAATTTGCTGGCCAGCCCTGGGGGCCTATTGGTTAGTTTGGCATATTCTGCTTCGGGGGCCCGGGGGTCAGTTCTTGGGTGCAGACCTACACCACGTGTCTCTCAGTGGCCATGCTGTGGTGGCAGCTCACATACGTAAAGCGGAAGATTGGCAGCAGATGTTAGCTCAGGGTAAATCTTCCTCAGCAAAAAAAAAAAAAAAAAATTAAAAACAAAAATAAAATTTGCAAGTCATGTCTTCAGTATTGGCAAGTATTGTGAGAGTATAGAATTTAAAAGCTGGGAAGGTTCGTCTTATCCCACTTTGCTATTTTCATATTGGGGAAATTGACCTAGATTTATATAATTGTATTGGAGTTGATATTATAACTCCACTCTTCTAGTATTTAGTCCCTGAGTGAAGTTATCACAAATGTTTTTGAGAAATTAGCTACAAAAGAACTGCCCCCAAATCAAAGCATTATATCTAAGAGCAAGATTACAAATCTAGGGGAACACCTTCTCTTTAGCTGTAGTTAATCTAAGGCCTCAGGCAGGCTACCCAGGGTTTCTTCATGGACCAATGGGCTGGGCAAGCCTAGCTAAGTAACCAAGGTACACCTTCCACTAGCTGGGTGAGGTCTGGCTGACACACTAGGACAGAATAAACTACGAGGCCTGATCCTCAGCAGACATTTCCCTGAGCGCAGCATGCCTCTGGAGGACTTTTCATTCAACTGTTAATGGATTATGGTATATTTCTTAGATTCAGTTCAAACTTTTTCCTCCCTTCTTGAAGTGCTCAGAGCACAATTTCTAATAACCTGATTAATCTATATATGGTTCCAAATGAAGGGTGATTACACATGTCATCACCCATGGAGTGGAAAACAAAATGGCTAGACTTCTTGAATTTTTCCACTGAAGTACTAATTGTGGAAGGGAATGAATATGTAGCCTTGGAATCTGGGAGTGTAGTTCACAGTAGCTTTTATGGCAAATACAGAATTTCCTTGAAGTTTCTGGGTTTTATCTTAAAAATTCATGAACATTTTGCATTTGATACTATACCTGTATTTTTTAATATAAAAATATATTAAATTATAAATATTTGAGGGAAAAAAGGGACTCTCCAGTGTGTCCCAGTTTGAGAAATATATTTTTAAAGAATATATGTGATGTTTTATTTATTCAATTTATTTAAACCTGTTCCTTTCCAAAAAAAGATTTGAAGTAGCTTAAATAAAGGATGTATATAGGTTAGTAAAAATATATGAGGTGCTCTAATCCATCAGATGAGGCCACATCTTTCTAAGCTCAAATTCTTTGTTCAGGGAGATGAGTTCCATTAAGGACTTTGAGATTCTCAGAGGAATGGAAAATACTAGATAGGTACTAGATCTAGAGATAGGTATCTCATAGATACCAGCAAATCATAAAATCACTGAGTTAGGATCTTAGTGGTTTGGTGGTTCCCACTCCTGCTATACTTTAGAATAATTTAGGAAGCCTCTTAAAAATACGGATTCCTGGACCCCAAATGGACGTACTGAATTGTATGCTTTAGGGAGTCAAAGAGTCATTAAATTCCCTGGGTGATTTTTATGTAGTTTGCGAACTGCTATTGGGAACCACTAATTGAATCCTTCTTTTACAGTATTATCTCCAACAGAAGGCCATTTACCATTTAATATTATTTCCAGTGAGGTAGCATTTTTCCTTTTGGGGACAGCTCTAATTTTTTTTAATAACAGCTTTATTGAGACATAATGTGTATGCCATAAAATTCACCCATTTAAAGTGTATAATTCAATGGTTTTTAGTGTATTCACAGAGTTGTGCAACCATTACCACAGTCAAATTTAGAACACTGTCCTCACCCCTAAAAGAAACCCCAAACCTATTAGCAGTCATTTCCTTATCTTCCCCACCCCTACCCATATCCACTGTAGGCAATAACTAATCCATGTTCTGTCTCTATTGATTTGCCTGTTCTGGACATTTCATATGAATGGAATCATACAATATGTGGTTCTTTGTGACGGACTTCTTTCACTTAGTGTTCTGTTTTCAATGTAGCATGGATCACTACTTAATTTTTTTATTACTAAATAATATTCCATTGTATGCATATATCACATTTTATTTATCCATTGTCAGTTGATGGACATTTGGGTTGTTTCCATGTTTTGGCTATTATAAACACTGCTGTTGTGTGGGCATATTTTTATTTCTTTTGGATATATCCCGAGGAATGAAATTGCAGGGTCAAATGGTGACTGAAGGTAACTTTTTGAGGAACTCCCAGACTTTTTCCAGAGCGGCTATACATTTTACATCTCTACCAGCAGTGTATAAGTGTTCCAGTTTATCTACAGCCTCACCAGCACTTGTTATTATATCTGTCTTTATATATAGCCATCCTCGTGGATGTGAAGTGATATCTCATTGTGTTTTTGGTTTGCATTTCCCTGATAGCTCATGATGTTTTGCATCTTTTCATTTGCTCATTGGCCATTTGTATCTCTTTTTTGGAGAAATGTCTATTCAAATCTTTTGCCCATTTTTAAATTGGGTTGTCTTTTTATTGTTGAGGTGTAAGAGTTCTTTATATCTTCTGGGTACAAGTCCTTTATCAGATATATAACTTGCCAAAATTTTCTCCATTCTGTGGATTGTCTTTTCACCTTCTAGATAGTATTCTTTGAAGGACAAAGTTTTACATTTTTATGAAATCCAACTTATTTATATTTTCTTTTGTTGCTTCTGTTTCTGGTTTCATATCTAAGAAACCATTGCTTAGTCCAAGGTTTTGAAGACTTACTCTTATGTTTTCCTTGAAGAGTTTTATAATTTTTGCTCTTACATTTAGGTCTTTGATCCATTTTAAGTTAATTTTTGTATGTGGTGTGAGGTCGGGGCCCTGCTTCATTGTTTTACAGGCAGAGATCCAGGTGTTCCAGCACAATTTATTGGAAAGACTGTTTTTTCCTTATTGAATTGTTCTTCAGAGAACAGAATCTCTGAAGCAGTGATTTTCAGCCTTGCTTTTGCAACACCTTGTGGTATATTTGGCTCCTTCAAAGGGTATTGTGAAATTCTTCCCCCCTAAAGTAATAATGATAATTCACTTTAATTTAAAATAAAATTGCATAAAGGAGGAAGGGTGGGTCATAAATTTAAATGAGAAGAACATGTTGCAATTACAGCAAAATTGGACACCACTGATATCTGATTGCCTAGTTTGAAGAAGGTGAGGGTGATTTTGTGTTTGGGACAAGCATCTTCAGGGTAGGGAACCTAATGCTACTGCAGGTAGTACCCACTGCTGGTGTAATTCCTTCACTGACTGTTCTGCTCGTGTGGAATGTAAGTGTAGAAAGA